TTTTCTTTTTTTTTTTTTTTTTTTTTTGTTTTTTAAACTCCTCGCCGGGAAAAAAGCAAAACCGAAAACGCTTCATCCCCCCCCTTACCTCGCCCCCCTGCAAAAGGCTCTCAAACAACCACCGACAGCAAGCAGAAAGCAGAAGGGGGCCCCCCTCCAAAAAAAAATTAAAAAGAAGGAAAAGAAAAGAAAAAGAGAGAGCCAGAGACAAGCTCCATCGATTTCAAACCCAGGATTTTATCCAGTGCATTGAGGTTTTTTTTTTTTTTATTTTTATTCCCCTTCTTACCCCCTCCTTGCTTTCACCCCCCACCCCCAACCTCCCCCTTCTCCTCCTACACACCCCTTTTTTTCCTTTTCATTTTATTTTGGATCCTGCTAAAATTAGTCGGGACTGCTCTGGGTGTTGCGTGTTAATTTGATTTACTCCGGGATTCCGGCTTTCCAAGACGCCATTTTCCCCCCTTTCTCGCTCTATCACGTTCTATTTATCTCTCTCTCTATCATTTATCTCCCGAGCTGTCTCTCCGTCTGTCTGTCCGTCCATCTCCCTCTCCCCGGTGCCTTCCTCCTCCCCCCGCCCTCCTCCCTCTGCGCTCTGCGTGCGCTGCGCGGCCGGGCGCTCCCCTCATCCCCATCTGACAGATGAACACCGCCATGGGTTTGCCGCAACACAAGCAAAAGCACCTTTGGGGGCTGTGGCGAGGGATTGAAACCGGGATCTAAAAGAGAAGAGACAAGAAGGGGGGAAATCCGAGGAAGGAGGAGGAGGAGGAGGAAGAAAGAAGAAGAAGAGGAAGCTGCTAAGAAGCCCCCGCTGCCGTTTTGGGGATATGGGTTAGTAAAAGCGAAAAAAAAAAAAAAAGGGCAACAAAAATCCTGAGGCATCGAGGAAAGGTCTGTCTTGATGATCGGGATTGCAGAGGAGGGTCGTACCCCTCTCTCCTTTTCCTTCCACCCCCCCACTTTTTTTCCCCCTCTGCATGCAAAAGTTAATGTCGTCTCTTTTTTTTTCTTTTCTTTTTTTTTTTTTTTTTTTTTTTTTTTTTCGTGTTGTGACTTTGCAATGGCGCGGAAAAGGCTTTATTTTTTTTTTCTTTTTTTTTTGAGGGGGGAATATTCCTCCTCAATGCAATGCACGCGAATCTTCCTCTCCCCTCCGACCCCGTCTCTCCCCACGCTTTGTGCCTGCTTAGGGGTGTGTGTGTGTGTTTGTGTGTGGTTGCAGGGGGGTGGTGGTGGTGTGTGTGTGTAAAACCGTGCTACTGGGAAGCGGTTGGAATTTTTTTAGGAGTTTGCATAATGTATTTATTCCCTCTCTTGTGCCCCCCCCCCGCTTTTTTGTAGCCTATATGTGTTTATATGTGAAGGTGGCAGCTATGTGTGTGTGCCTGTGGAAATTGGGGGGGACACACACACGACCCCCCCCGCTTCGTAAATTGCAGGTTAAGTGGAGCTAGAGAGCAGCACTGTAACCTTATGGGGATTTTGTGTGTGAGAGTGTGTTCGTGCGAGTGTGTGTGTGCGGGGGGCTCCGCGGCGGTGCCGGGGGGGATGGTTGGAGTGGGGGGCGCCGCTGCCCCGGGGTGGCCCCGGCTTGTTTTGACATTGAAAAGGACACGCAGCCGAAAAGGGGGCGATCTGGCGGGAACAACGAATGTGGGGAGGGGAGGGGGTGTAATTTAAGCAAAGCGGCCCCCCCCCCCCCGCCCCGTGGAATACTAGTTCTTAATAACGGTGATTGCCGCCCCGGGACCCGCGGCGGGCCCCTTTTTCCCCCACAACGGGTGGAAGTGGAGTTGAGCTTGACGGCGCGGAATATCGCCGATATTATTCTGGGCGGAAGGTAGGTGGTTTGGGAGGAGGAGGGGCGATATAAGGCAGGCGGCAGCCGCGGGCGGCTATTGTCAACCCCAGCCCTGGCGGCAGGCTTCCTGCCCAGCGCGGGCACTCACAGCCGCACTCGCACTCATACCCTTTCTCGCCGGGTTTTCCCGGCGGGCACCGCGGAAACAGGGTGTCCCCCCGAGCCGCCCTTATCTCCCGGTGTGTGTGGTGTGTGTTGTGGTTGTGTGTCTGTGTGTCTGTGTGTGTCTGTGTGTGTCAGCGCGAGTGTGTCAGCGTGTTTGCATCCCAACATCCCACCATCCCACCCGGGCACGGCGGTCTCCGCGCTGCCCCTGCCTGCTGTATTTATGTCTCAAAAAAGGCAGTTGAGAGAAGGATTTCCGATTCGTTTCCGCTTCAAATAAACGGCCCCGATAATCCCGGGCCTGACGCCTGATGCTCAAAGGGCACTTGGCCGCCGGGAGCCCAGCCCGGGGAGGCGGGGGGGACAGGGCACACCCGGCTCGGCCGCCCCGCGGTGGGCAGGTCCCCCAGTCCTCGGGAGGGGTTAATGGGGGGGCTTCAGGCGTGGGGAATGCGCATGGGGGACGCGCGGAGAGAGATGCGAGGGGAGCACCCACCCATTCTGGTACCGAGGGGTGGCGGTGTCCCCGCGGCTGCCGTGAGCCGGGCTAACCCAGCCGGGTCCTGGGAGGAGTAGGAGGACGGAGGGAGGAGGGTAGGGGAGCCTGGCAGCCTGTTGTCCCCGCATACAGAGGTGTTTCATTAGCCACCGGCCCGCGGTGGCCCTGCTCGGTGGTGGAGGGGACCTGCCGTGTGTCCTTCTAAATCCGTCTGTCACACGGCAAAGGATGACTGGGGCGAGGGGACTGTGGAGCCGGCCAGTGCTCTGCTGTCAAAGAGAGCATCCGAGCCTCCTGGTATTGATGGAATTGTTCCAGGAGGAAAGGGTTGCTGGCAAATCCGGTCCTGTGTGAAATATTATGGGCCCAAATGGGAACAATTACTGATTTGACAGCCCCTGCATCCAAGGAGTAACTTGGTGCAGGCTACAGGAATGGTATAATCAGGTGTCTAGTGACAGGCAGTGACAGCATGAACTTCAGGAAACAAGTGGACCTTTCATTGTAGACAGCAAAAAAATATGCCTATCAGGGAATTGTAGAATTGTAGAATCACAAAATGATTTGGTTGGAAGGGACATTAAAGCTCATCTTGTTACAGCTTCCCTGCCATCTTATTCCAAACCCCCCCACCCCGCCAAGGCAGAGACACTTTCCACTAGACGAGGTTGCTGCAAGCCCTGTCCAGCCTGGTCTTGAACACTTTCAAGGATGGGGCATGTTCATGGGGAAATGTGCAAGTGGCTGCTTCATGCACAGCTTTCTGCACTTCTTTCCCGAGATTACTCCCCTCGTCAGAAGCTCCTTCCACTCAAAGGAGAAACTTTTTTTCATCTCCATTTTTTTTTAGCCGAGAGGAGAAAAACCCTTCCACACAATGGAGTTGTACTTTAATCTCTGCTCTTAGCTCAGAAAGGTTATGTAAAAAGGGGAGGGGGGGAAGCAGAAACACTCAGTGAATGGAGACTTCTCTTCCATCTCTTATTGGCTTCAACTTTTTTTTTTTTTTAACTTCTCAGACTCAAAGTTTTAATTGAAACCAGAAGTCTATTGAGAAGTAACTGAGCCAAGAAAACCTCTGTTTTCTCTGCAACTAGGGATGGGGAATAAATAATTTTTAGCTGATGTTATTTCAAGTTGTTTGAGCTTTTTGATTCCTGCCAAAAAGCCCAGCATAGATTATTAACACATTATCATTTTAGGAGGACGCGCTCTTTGAAATGCAATAAAATGGTGTGTTAGGTTTGTGCAGAGACATAAACTATGCTAGTTGTTGGCAAAAAAAAAGAAACAGTGGCCATGATTTATTATTAATAATGATCTTAACTGAGCTATTTAGTTCAATTTGATATTTACTGTGTTTCTCTACTGAGGTTGCTCAGAATTGCTTCCAGTGTACTTTGATTAAGTTGGGAACTGTTCTTGTTTAACAACCTCTATTGCCGTGTGCTTAATTAACTCAGGGAGTTAAATGCTTAAAAAGGTTCAACAATCATTTTTTGGCTTCTGATGCTGCCTAATCTCCTCTTATGCTCTTTTTCGACCCATCCTTTGAGCTGCTTTTTCCCAGCACACACATCTCTTAGGTGCAAGTGCCAGCTTACCAACAGGACTCTTGTTTTCCATTACAAGATTTGTCTAATCCCAGTTTCAGTGACTTTTTTTTGCCCTCTCAGTAGGGCTCAATTGCTCACACATAATCTTTCCCTTCTGTTTTCTTTCCCCTTTGGACAACACCCTCCAGGACTGAAAAACTCTTGCCTTGTGCCCTGAGACTTGCAATTACACAGCAATTTTGACTCTTGACCCAACTAGTAGCAAGAAAGGCTATTGTCTAATGAACCACGTAAAAACAGTTCTGGGATCCAACAGATTGCTGTGATGGAAATGAAAGCTGTCCCACTGAACTGATGACTGATTTGCTTAACCATATGCCTAGGCAGTTTTCCTTGCTCCCCATTAACTACCCATCTCTGGAGGATCTGTGATCTGTTGGTCTGTGATGACGTTGAAAGGCAGCACTAATAACTGCCAAAATGTGCTCCATGGAGCACGTAGGGCCAGGTTTTAAGCCATGTTGAGAAAATGGGGAATTTTATTTTTGCCCACCATAACACGCAGGTACGCGGGGTTTTGGACTTGTAACTGCTGTGATTTCAGTACAGGTTTTGGTGATGAGGCAAGGGCAAAACTGTGCAAAAGTATCAGAATCATAGAGTCATGGAGTGGTTTGTGTTGGAAGGGACCTTAAAGCTCATCTTGTTCCAACCCCCTGCCAAGGGCAGGGACACCTTCCACCAGAACTGGCTGCTCCAAGCCTTGTCCAACCTGGCCTTGAACACTTCCAGGGATAGGGCAGCCACCATTTATCTGGGCAATCTGTTCCAGAGCCTCACCACTCTCACAGCCAAGATTTTTTTCCTAATATAGTTGACCTATAAAATAATAGATGGTCAGATGAAATCCATGGTAAGATCTAGCCTCACTGCTGAGGAGTTCAGACACTCTTAGGGCAGCACCAATCCAAGGATCAGAGCTAGTCCAAAGCCTAGAGAGAAAGGCAAGAGTTTGTGGGACAGTCTTAATGGAGAAGGTTCCCAGTGTTGTGCTGCAGGGCTTGTGGTTTCTACTAGGACTGGTTTTGCTATTATAGGAGTTCTGTTCTCACTACTTTCTCTCTTTCCAACTCAATAAAAAAAAAAGAGTTTCCTCTCCCGTTATTCTTGTCAAGGAAATAAAATTACTTACGCTTTTAGGAAATTGTCATCTTGATTAAAGATGCACTTTAAAATCCCTCAATTCCGTGTTTTAGCCTGGGGGGACTTAAAGATCTGAAAGCGATTTCCAAACTTTCAAGGTTGGGACTGCTCTGCCTTCTGATAAGGGCTTGAAATCAGGTTGGAAGTGTGCATGGTTAGCAACACTTAGAGACTGTTTCTTTCTCCTTTTTCCCAGTGTGAAGGCTTCACTTGATGTGGCTGCAAAAGTCCATTGCATTTTTGGACCTGTTTAACAGTGTGCTTTATGCTGGGACCAAGCACAGCTCTGCAACAGGCACCTGGATTCTGAATTCACATTTAACTGGTCATACAGAGTACAAAGTGAGGGAGATAAAGAGCTGGGGGAGAAAAGGAAGACAAAATAATTTCTTAAATTGAGTAAAATCAGTCAGAGAATAATACACCTTGTCTTTCAGAGCTGAGGAAATGTGTGAAGGAAGTAGTGGGTGCTAATTTCTGTTTATCAGCTCTTGAGGGAGTGCAAAGTTAGGGACTATTTTGCTCTTTTGGAGTTGGATTTACTTTGGAGGACACACTGTCCAAATGCAATGATGAGCTGTGGGATGACTGGGTATGAAAAGCAATC